TGCCTTTACGAAGGCCAGGAAATTCCCAGGTTCGACGGATTGTCAGAATTGATTCTACTGTATAAAGTTTCTCGTTATTTGTGTAACAAGAAACAAAGAACTAGGATGCAATAGGGTCAATAGGGGTGCTTATGCATGTGTATTCATGTTTTGTTGTTCTTCTTCGTCTTACACATTTCACAGGTCTGCTGTGCACCTCGCTGCACGCTGCAGCCTTGCACTGCGACACTGCGGTGCTGATGGCATTGATCGAGGCCAAAGCCAATGTCGAAGCAAAGGCCGAGGCAAGGTATTGTCAATACCAATTCATTGTCGACAGACACGAGGTATTGTCTACAAAATTGACAATGCAGTTAAAGCTGGAATTGTGCGTAGTGTGATTCATTTTGTGCGTAATGAAGAGGCATCAGCGGTGGAGGGTGAAGAGGACCTCATGCACACCCTGACCGAATGTCATGCCTTACATGCCGCCAAGCTTGACTGAAACAGCCCTTAAGGACCAAGAATGGTTATCGGAGTTGACTAGTTAGTTGTTTGTTCTTGCTGGGCTTTTCCCAGCTTGGAATAAGGTCATGATCGCTCGGGATGTCTTCTGCGAAGAGGCAGGCTACTTGAGCCAGGGTCATTTATTCCACGTTCCTTGCACAATGACTAGGTTTATGCTTTGCTGATGCGGGCTGGCTTGCGACTGAGCGCGGCATGTCGCAACAAAGAGGGCGAAGAGATCTCTGGCCTTTTGCTGCCCAGGCAACTGTGACACAAGAGAGGGCATGAAGTCAGGGCTAGGTCTTGAAACTACCCTTTACATCCCTTTACTTTACTTACTTGACACAGGACAACAAGATGTTGTCCGATGTTGCCTTTTCTTTAGGCCTTTCTTTCCTTTTTCCTTGATGTCTATTCCAGGCTCTTGGGCAACGCGACAGCCACAGAGGAATGTTTAGACCGACTCCTTGGTGAGGAGGTGAGAGTCATTGTGTTTTCACGTCGAAGCTCTTGCGGCTCTTTTTTGTTTGCCTTCCCTTTACGTTCGTAGCGTCCTTGCTCCTAGTAGTATGGCCAGGAGCGCCCCCAGTAGTGTCCTTGCTCCTAGTAGCGATGCCCTTTGTTACGTTCGTAGCGTCCTTGCTCCTAGTAGTATGGCCAGGAGCGCCCCCAGTAGCGTCCTTGCTCCTAGT